CTAAAAGAATAACAAGGGAATACATTAAACAACTTTATGCCATAAATATGTTATCCCAGGACAGTGGACAAGTTCCTTGAAACACCCAAACTACCGAAGCCCACTAACAAACAGACAACCTGAATAATTCTGTATTTTAAAATGAGCAGTAGTTAAAACACATTTCCACACAGAAAACTCCAGTCCCAGTTCCAGTCACTGGTGAATTCTACCATATATTTAAGGAAGAAATAATCCCAATTCTACAGAAAGTCTTCCATAAAACTCAAGAGGAGGAAATATTTATCAGAAAGTATTATTTTCTCAGGCCAGCCTTACCCTGATATCAAAATCAGAGAATGTAATTAGAAGAAAAAAACAGCTACCAAAACCAACATCTTTCACACAAAGAGATACAGTATTTAAAGAAGAATATATTATGACCATATAGAGTTTACCTTAGGAATGCAAGGATGGTTTACTATCAAAAATCAGTGGGGGCGCCTGGGTGGCTTAGTCGTTTAAGCATCTGCCTTTGGCTCAGGCCATGATCCCAGGATCCTAGGATCGAGCCCCATGTCTGGCTCTCTGCTCAGCAGGGAGCCTCCTTCTCCCTCTGCTACTCCTCCTCCTCGTGCTCTCTCTCTGTCAAATAAATAAAATCTTGAAAAAAAATGTAAAAACAACAAAAAGCAATCAATGTAATTCATTATATGAATAGATGAAGGAAGGAGAGCCAGATGAATCTCTCAGTAGATAAAGACAAAATCCAGCATCCATTCCTGTTAGAAACTCTCAGCAAAGTAAGAATAGAAGGGAATTTATTCTACCTGTTTAAGGGTATCTATGAAAAATGGGCCTCCAACATCATACTTAATGGTAGAAGACTGGGTGCTTTCCTCTTAAGATTAGGAACCGGGCAGGGGTGTCTGCTCATAATCACTTCTATTCAACACTGAGCTGGAAGTTCTAGCCAATTTATTGAGGCAAGAAAAAGAAATAAAAGGTATCCCTATTAGAAAGGAAAAAGTAAAATTGCCATTATTCACTGGTGACATGATTACCTACATAATCTATTATGATTTTATTATGATTATTATAAAATCCTGCAGAATCTATAAAAACTATAGTCGAGGCTTAAGGAAGTTGTAGGATATAAGACTAATACACAAAAATCAATTGTGTTACCAATACGGCTGGAAAATTACAAAAAAACATAATAGCATCACAAAGTATGAAATGGAATACATTTGCTAGAGTGTAAGACTTTTGCACTGAAGACTCTTAAAACATCACTGAGAAAACTTTTAAAAGACCAAAATAAATGGAGATACCTTGTGTCTGTGGGTCAGAAAAAGTATGGTGAAGAGGTCATGTCTCCTCAAAATGATGTGTAGCTTCCAATCAAAATCTCAGCATACTTCCTCCCTTCATAAATATATACATAATTATATACTCTACAGTTTAGAAATAAGTTACTCTATTCTAAAATTTATAAGGAAAGTTAAAAAGACCTATGATGTGGGAAACAGGCAGAAGAAAAATTGTAAGATACCCTTACAACCTACAGCCCATTGACAAGTCCTTGAAACAGGCAGAGTGACATTCCTCTAGGGACTCAACTGCCTCAGTGTTAATACTTTGCTAAGGGCAAAAGACAATCCTAGCACACACACACCCCCCCCCCGCCGATCCTGTAAGTCTACTTTAACATATAAAAATTCCTTCAGAAATTTCCTTTATCTCTAAACCCCCCAAGATACATATTATTTATCTCTAAACCCCCCAAGATACGTGTTGGCAGTCATCCCCCCCAAACATATGGCCCACCGATATACATCTCAAGGGTCTCATGACTTAGGTTTTATTAGACAGTAATAAATGACCTTTTCCCAACAATAGTTAACCCCCTCAAGGTCCTGGAAACCTCGCTTCCAAATTCCTTAGATACTTAAACTATAACCCCCTCCCAACTTGAAGGTACATAATGGGCCACTCCTCATGACCCCGGTGTAGCTCTTCCTGCCCATGGATGCTGTCCCTGTGCTTTCATAAAATCACCTTTTTGCACCAAAGACGTCTCAAGAATTCTTTCTTGGCCATCGGCTTTGAACCCTAATGTTCTATTCTACATCAACCTGTAGTTAAAATAACTCACAAAAAGAAGAAAAAAAGTTGTAGGAATTACACTGATTACATGACTTAGTACTATAAAGCTACATCAACCAAGACATTGTGTGTGGTATTGATGATATATAGATGACATATCAATGAAAACCAGTGCAGAAACAGACCTACACTTACATGTATATTCAGTTGATTTTTGACCAAGGTGTTTTTGGGGGAAGAGGTGATCTTTCCAAAAAAAAGGTGCTGGAACAATTGGATAGCCATACGCAAATAAATGAACCTCAGCTCTTACCTCGTACCCTATGCAAAAATACCTCAAAATTGGTCAAGATGTAAATGAAAATATAAAAGCAGAAACTATATAAAAGAAAACACAGAAGAAAATGTTAAAGACTTTGATTTTGGTAAAAATGTCTTAAATACAGCACAATGAGCACAAACTGTAAAAGATTAGTCAGGCTTCATCAAAATGAAAAAGTTTGCTTTTCAAAATACACTGTTAAGAAAATGAAAAGACAAGCCATGGACTTGGAGAAAATATTTGTAGAACATCCAACCAAAGACTTGTGCCTAGAAAACAACAAAAAAAATCCCTTCCAACTACATAGGCAGAACCTAACCCCATTAAAAAGTGCTAAAAGATCTGAACAAACACTTGAGCAAAGAAGATACGTCATACTCACCATCGTTAGTCTAGTGAAGTGCAAGTTAAAGTCATGGTGAGAGGCACCTGGGTGGCTCAGTTATTAAGCGTCTGCCTAGAAAAACACATTTCGTAATTCAGATGTGTGGGTTTTTAAGAAAGTTTTATTTATGGATAATACATGCATGTAGTTTTAAGGTCAGAACATAAAAGGAAATCAATAAAAACTCTTTCCGCTTCTGTTCTCTGACCAGTACACCGTGCTCTCCCCTACCCCATGAACATATAAGCAAATACAAACATATATGCTTACTTTCCCCCCATTTTCCTCAAAAGGTCGCTTACTTTAAAAATAATGGTCTGCTTTATGCTTTCCTTTACCTTTAACATACCTTGAAGATATTACTAGAGCACCCTTGTATGTATGTTTTATTACACACACATGTGAGAATGTATGTCTGTGATCAATTCTTGGAGTGGAATTTCTAGGTCAAAGGGTATATGCATATGTAATTTTCATACATATCAAATTGCCCTCTGACGTACATACCTCAGGTCATGGTCCCAGGGTCCTGGCATTGAGCCCTGCATCGGGCTCTCTGCTAGACAGGAAGCCTGCTTCTCCCTCTCCCACTCCCCCTACTTATGTTCCCTCTCTCAATGTCTCTCTCTCTAATAAAGTCTTTAAAAAAATTATTTAAAAAAAATAAAGTCATGGTGAGAACACAGCACTCCCACTGAAATGGCTAGAATTAAAAAGGTTTATTAATTAAAACCCCAGTTTTGGCTAGGATGTGGAAGAACTGGAACTCTGATAGGCCACTGGTAGGAATGTAAAGAGGAACCACTTTAGAAGATGAGTTGGCAGTTTCTTAAAAGGGTAAACCAACCCCTACCATTCCACTTTTGGGTGAAATGCAAGTGCATGTCTGCATATGACTACCCGCAGCCTTATTTGTTGTAGCACAAAATGAGAAGCCACCTCTTTTGCCTCGTTCGTAAGGAAGGTGTTTAGTTTTTGTCTCTTCCTCCTCAGGCCTTTTTATATGTTTGTGCACCAAAATTCTTATCTCACCAAATGGGTTGAATGGCTGGTGTCTTTCTGCCATTGCAGAAGAGAACCCCTTCTCCTTGCTGCAGAATGGGAAGATTGGATTCTAGCCCTAACTCTGACACCCTGGGCCAACCAGGACCTCGGAGTTCTTAACTGCCAAATGAAAGGCTTAAGTTATATTTATTCATTCACGAATATTTTTGAGCACCTGACATGTGCCCAGCACTCTTTTGGGTACTGGTAACACAATGAAAATCGGCTACAGTCCCTGCCCTCATGGAACCAGTTATCTAATAACCTATGATGTGGCAGACACGGTCTTCAGTTTCAGGAGCTGTGGCCTACTGTCTTAATCTCAAGGAATTTAGGGAAGGGAGACCAACATAACAGAACTACTGTTGTAAGGAATGTTATGAAGGAAACCGTTTGAGGGGAGACCCACCCTCAGCAGGGCCTGCAGGGGAGGCCTCTCGGTGGAGTGGCACTTGAGCTGACATCCAAAGGAAGAAAGAGAAAGTGCTGTCATTTGCCTTCACTGTCTCTTCTCTCAGAAGTCCAGACTGAATGGAAGACAGTGATTTGATTTCTTCGAATGTAGGCACCTCTAACTGTGAGCACTTTCACGGGGCCCTCTGTTCCTTACCTCACACCTTACAGTGTTTCATTGTCTTGTTCAGGAACTCTAAGTGCTAATAAATTAAACAGATCTAACATTTGAAATTCTGTTTTAAAAAGAATGTTTAATTTGTTTTGTTTGCTGAGTTAGAGTTACATTATAGGTTATCTGAATTTTGGTAAGAGTAATAACACTCATCTAGATCATTGGTTTCCACTACAGGCCTGAATGAGTTCTCAGGTTCATATGCTGACTGAATGTCACCTAATAGAAAATAATATCTCACACAGGAATGCTATATATTTCGAATGTACATAGATGCTGTTGTATTTAATAAAATGACAATTCATTTAATAACGTTACTGAATTCTTAGTTCAGCTAATAACAGCTCAACATTTCCTCAGTGGTTCCATTGTTTTAGATGACCTCTGAATTTTGATGGCATGTTAGCTTCATTTTGTGTTCTATCAAATTTTTCAAAGTAGCTTAGTCTAGAGATCTGGAGAACGTAACAAAAGACTGTGCATATACAACAAGTGTCTACGTGAATATAATAAAAATAATCTTTCTCTTATAGATATTCCTTTAAGGACCAACCTGCCACCACCATTCAGAAATTATAAATATGGTAACTAATTTTACTTATTATTTAAAAATGTATATTAATATAATTTTACGTTAGTTTTATGTTGATAGCAATTTGAATTTGGTTTTCAAAAATGAGTTTACTATCTGTAAGTAAAAACCAATATGGAAATTTATTTAGGAATATAGGAATCCTGGTGTATCAGTGAAGTAAATTGTAATAGTGTATGGAAGTGGCCTATTTGTGAGGAACAAATAACATGTTTGGCAAACGATGTCTAAAATGAATTTCTTTGTCTGGTAACCAGGAAAGAAAAATGATTTCAGACTAGGAATTAAAAGAAGAGATTAAACATTTTAAATGCCAATAACTTAAGCATAGTATATAGTAATTTTGCATGTTGCAGGGGTCGATTAAACAATGCAGTAATGAGGCAGGAAGTTGGGTTTCATTATTTGGTATAAAGATGGTATGGTTATTAACCTTCAGCATAGTGATGCTCAGCAAACTTTGAGTTTGAGACCTCACTTGAAAATTATGATGCATCTAATAAATATTTCTGTTAATTGGTACAGACATTTTTTGAAGTATAAATTTTTTATTACCTTAGATCATTTTTTGGAGTGGCTTTTAATTCTGTTCCCATTTGGCAGAGCAACTTATGACCTAAAATACTTTGAAATCACAATCTTCACCGTGTGTATGCATTTTAATATCCAGAGACTAATTGTGAGGTCATAAGGGGTAGTCAAACAGAAGTTGAAGGCACTGAGTGGAAAGTACTTTGATTTATTGGGCTTAAAGAATTTACATACTAAATAGTGAATAAGAGAAAGGAATAAAAAGCACAGTTAAGTAAATACAAAACTTCTCAATTCTGGCTTTCATGGCTTTCAGAGTATAATGACTTGCAATATAACCTTAAACTTGAATCAACCTACAGATGCCATTTCCTTTTTGCATGGTGTATGTGTGTGTGTGTGTGCGTGCACGCACGTGCATGCATATGCATACATATTCCAACTTGTGTTCCATATAAGTCATTTTGAAAGATAAGTTTTAGATACTGAATGCATTAGAATATCTGACTGTTAATCATCACGGTGGTAGATAACGTACCTCTTATATTGTCCCACCTTATTAACACTGTTTTGTCCTAGGATTTGTATACTATTCAGGTGAATTGGCAGAAGAAGTGAACACATTGAACTGTGAGATAAGAAATTAGAGAACCACTGGGGTTTTGATAGACTTTTCAGTGACCCAGTCTGGGTTTGGCTCTGTAACAATCTGCTGCTTTGTGTTCAAAAAGGAAGGCCAGACATTACTTTCTCACCTGCCCTTGTCCTCCAATATTGCTACCTGCTCTGTGGGAATAGAACACATTGGGTGTTGGGGAGTGGAAAGGGTCCAGAGTCAGATTTCAGCTTTGCTGGTCGTTGTCCCCATGCCCTTGGGCAAAGGGCTGGCTCGCTGGCCAGACCACGGAGAGTCTGAGATTTCTTAGGGCCCCTCCTCCTATTTAATTGACATCTACATCTATGACTGATTTATCCCGACCAGACTGTGTTCTAAAGCACATTGGATGTGGTCTTATTTTTAAATCCTGATCACCTAGACACTGTGCCTGTGTACAGTAACTATTGGTGGCTATGCAGTGTGGAGTTGCTGATACTGTTTATTTCATAAGGCCGTGTGTGATTAAACCACACTTGTGTGAACACGTCAAATGCACCACTAATATATTTTTACTTTTTATTTTTTTAAAGATTTTATTTATTCATTTGAAAGAGACAGAGCACAAGCAGGGGGAGTGGCAGGCAGAGGGAGAAGCCGGCTCCCCGCTGAGCAAGGAACCTGTCGGTGGGGCCTAGGACCTGGAGATTGTGACCTGAGCCGAAGGCAGACACTTAACCGACTGAGCCGCCTAGGTGCCCCTATTCTTTTTATTTTTATGAGGTTACTTTCCTCAAGGAATTTGCACTTTGGGTACAATACCCACAGATGTTGTTTCTGTTAGTAATGAAGATTTTTTTTTTAAAGAAGTAAAAACAAGTGAGATTATTCAGCAAGGAAAAGGACATTATTAGTACAATATCTTTTGCTAGCTGGTTGTTTCCCTGCCCCTCTTACCAAGTCTTACTAGTTTCTGTTGGAGGGAAAAATCTGAAAATTTCTGTTCAAATCATTTCTTATTCTGCTAAAAAAAATGTGGCCTTCTTATTGTGGGTTTGCAGGACCCATTAGAGCAAGGATGTTTCTAATAAAGGCTCATTAGCAAAATATGTAGAACATGACTAATATTTTGTAAGGTCAAACCACAGTTTTGCTTGTTGGTTGTAACAGACTTTAAGTAGGATCCTTTTAGTTAAAAAACTTACTGGCTTTTCTAACTTGTCTATAATAATAAACCAATATCTGTCTATAATGAGAAAAAGATAATAGGTAACTCAGAATAATAGATAATCCAAAAGCCAATTTGTTTATTTTCTTGCGTACATTCTGAGCTTATTTTTAGCAATTGTGGTGTATTTACATTCCTAATATGCATTTTTTCACCTAAATTAGATTTATTTTTAGTTCTTAACAGTACATAGTTGCAGTCCTAGGATTAGGCTGACCTTGTGTTAAAAATTGCAATAGATAATTGAAAGTTGACTATTTAAAATAATGGGTAATTCAGTGCTGGTACTTAACTGGGTAGCTACCCTATTCTTTCGTATTATTAGAACAGAGTTAAATCAGGACCTGTTTTTTAAGTAGATCCTTTCATTTCATTTTACTCTTGGAATTCTTTATTGAATCAAATGGCATGATTGATAGAAATGAATTTTAGTTTAAGGTTAAGAGTTTGTCCAGATATAATAATACATGTAATCATAATACATTAATTGGATGGTTAAACAAAACTGAAGAATTGGAAACTTTCTGACTTGAATCCCATTAAATGCTGAGCCCCTGCTATAATTAAGAGCTCACTGATGCAGAGTCGGACTTCACCGAATGTGGAGAAATGACTTACTGGAAAAGCACAGCATAGCCTGACATCAAGATAAACAGATTAAGGAGCAAAGGAGGATTGAGTAAAGCGGTTAGATGGTGTGAGCCTGTGCAGTGTTTGAAAACCAGGAGGCAAATAATGATATTCTTTGGGCATTAGCAGCCCTGCTCACATTACCAGTGAGCCTGAGCTCAGAGAGTGGTAACAGGTTGTCAGGATAATCATTTGACTCCTGTCACTATATGTATTCTGAGAGATTACTAGGTTTTTTGGAACTGCTTATGTTAATGTCTGACATTTTTTTTTTTAAAGATTTTATGTATTTATTAGAGAGAGAGAGAATGAGAGATACAGAGCACGAGAAGGAAGAGGGTCAGAGGGAGAAGCAGACTCCCCGCTGAGCGGGGAGCCTGATGCGGGACTCGATCCCGGGACTCCAGGATCATGACCTGAGCCGAAGGCAGTCGCTTAACCAACTGAGCCACCCAGGGGCCCCAATGTCTGACATTTTTTACATTATTTGCTAATTATAGCCTTTTGCACCTCCAAAAAACAGGATCGAGTAATATCCACCTGTCTTCTATTCTAAGGGAAAATGTGCCAAGTTCATTGCAGGTTATGGCACCCAGTTGTGTGTGTCAAAGACGAAGGCTTTCAAATATCTTTAAACAGCAGTGACCTTTAAGGTGATGATATATAAAAGTAATTTTTTTTTTTACTGTATACTAGATTTTTAAGTAAACGGATCATAAGGCAAGGACTTAAGTTTCTCAATTTCATAGCTGCACCCTCCCGTTTCATATTATTCAAATGAAGTTTTAAAATAATCTTTTATGAAGACTTCTTTTTTTCTTTCAGATAAACTAAAGATTGTTCATCAAGCACATAAGGCAAAGGTACGTTTCATATGTACAGTAGTATCTGGCACATAGTGAGTAATCACTGTTGGCTGTCTCAGTGAATAAATGAATGAACACACGTACTTCTAAGATATTTCCCATTATAATAGCATTTTTTATTTTGTAAGTACCCTTTCTACAGCCATTAAGAAAAAAAAAACCCCACTAAGCCCTTGTTAGTAGTAGATCCTTTAAAAAAGTGTTAATTTTTTAAAAAGCGTGCATGTTCTATATCAAGCAAATATTTAACGTAAAAATTAAATTTGCAAAAAAATGTTTTTTGAAGTTACTAATTCACAGGCAACAGCCATACCCTCATGCCATTTTCTTTGTAATCTCTGGTATACAGTTATTTGAAAGCTGATTGAGTTTATGGTGGGTATCTAGGACTAGAGAAGACAATGAAATTAGGTGAATTAAAAAATAAATGCTTGGGGCGCCTGGGTGGCTCATTTGGTTAAGCATCTGCCTTTGGCCCAGGTCACGATCTCAGAGTCCTGGGATTGAGCCCCACATTAGGCTTCCTGCTCAGTGGGGAGTCTTCAAAATGCTAGTGAGGGTCATTCAGTTGTCCACACTCATTGAACTGAACTCCCCTTAAGATCTGTGCATTTTATTTATATGAAATTCTACCTGAATTTCACAAAACAATAGACATGCCAAAAGGGATCCAACATAAGATTTAAATGGAAATGCTTAGGATATTTGGATGGGAAGATGCAACAGTATGAAGATGTCCATTTTTTCTTAGTTTACAAATTTAATGCCACCCCATATATATATGAATGAAAGAAGCTGATTATAAAACTAATATGCAAAAAATAAATAAGAATAGTTAGGAAAAGGAAAAAAAAGGGGAGTGACTAGCCCTGACATGTATTACCCATATTATTAAACTCTAGTAATTAAAACAGTGTGGTGCTGCCATATGAACTCTTAGGTCAATGGCACAGAATTAAAAGTCCAAAAATTGACCCAAATATATATCAGAATTTAGTATATAGTAAATATGACATTTTAAAGCTATGGAGAAAACATGAGGATTCAGTAAGTGTTACTGGGACAATTGGGAGACATCCAGAAAACAGTGAGTTGAATCCATATCTTTTTTTTATGCCAAAATAAATACCCACTGGATTAATGACTTAAATGTGAAAATAAAGCTCACAGGTGAGGACAGAGGTGAAACCAACTGAACATGAGTAGATCATTTGTTCAAGCTGGGTGATGGGTGCGTGGAGGGTTCATTGTGCTGTTCTGTATGTTTGAAATTCTTCATAATTAAAAGCTTTAAAAAAATGAAATTGACAAAAACATTTGAAAAGAATGGGGAATTTTAAAATTAATCTTAGAGTGAAGGTCTTTCTAAGTGTGGTAGAAAACCCAGAAACCATAAAAAATTGATAATTTTACTTTATTTAAACATTTAGCACCTTTTTCTAGGAAAAAAACACTAAAAAATCAAGAAACAAGTGAAAATGGGGAAAATTTTCTAACTTATATTACAGAAAAGGCCTGATTTTCTTAGTATATGATGCTATTTTACAATTCCATTTAAAAAATTATCCTTTGGGGGCACCTGGGTGGCTCAGTCATTAAGCGTCTGCCTTTGGCTCAGATCATGATCCTAGGGTCCTGGGATCGAGCTCCGCATCGGGCTCCCTGCTCAGCGGGAAGCCTGCTTCTCCCTCTCCCACTCCCCCTCTTGCTGTCTCTCTCTCTGTCAAATAAATAAAAAAAAAACCTAAAAAAAAAAAAAAAATTATCCTTCGAGTCCATTAAAAAAAAATATTTACAACTTGACTCAAAATAAATGCAAATTCAGACTACACTTACTCTCCATCTGTTAGGTTGGCAAGGATCAGATGGTTTTGATAATATACCATGTCAGTGATGCTCTGGGGACTAGGTACTCTCAGCGATTGGTAGCATTCCTGTAAAGTGGTACGGACTCTGGAGCGTCATTTAGCAATATCTGCCAAAATAAAATTGCACGTGCTCTCTGACCTAACGATTCTACTTCTAGGAACTTATCTTACACATAAAACTCATACAAAGGCAAAATGATACATGTTATGAGGATATTTGTTGCAGAGTTGTTTATGGTAGCAAAAGATGGAAACAACCTGAATGTCCATCCCTGGGGACAGAGTGTGTGTGTGTGTGTGTGTGTGTATGTATGTATCCCTTCAGTGGAATAGCCCGCGGCCTTGATAAATTGAGGCAGCTCGTATTACTGATTTTGAATGATTTTAAGCTATATTTTAAGAGGAAAAAGTCATGTGTTAGAATATAGCATACAGTATGCTGTTATGTGTTTGGAAAAGTTTACCTGCACATTTCTGCCTGCATGAACGTGTACAGAGACAGCCTCTGGAAGGATACGCCAGAATTAGTGTAAGTTCTCTGGAAGGAAACTAGACCACCTGGTAGATAGGGGTTGGGAGGAGACTTACTTTTCTCTCCTTCCCTATGTGCTTGGAGAATTTTGTATCATGAGTATGTGTTACCTATTCTTTTTTTTTTTTTTAAGATTTTTTTATTTATTTGACAGAGAGAGACACAGCTAGAGAGGGAACACAAGTAGGGGGAGTGGGAGAGGGAGAAGCAGGCTTCCCGCTGAGCAGGGAGCCTGATGCGGGGCTCGATCCCAGGACCCTAGGATCATGATCTGAGCCGAAGGCAGATGCTTAATGACCGAGCCACCCAGGTGCCCCTATGTGCTACCTATTCTAAAATGATTTTTTTAAAAAAAGATTTTATTGATTAATTTGACAGAGCACAAGAGAGCACAAGCAGGGGGAGCGGTAGGCAGCGGAAGAGGGAGAAGCAGGCTCCCTGCCGAGCAGGGAGCCCCACTCAGGGCTCAGTCCCAGGACCCAGGGATCATGACCTGAGCCAAAGGCAGATGCTCAACTGACTGAGCCACCCAGGTGCCCCTAAAATGATTTTTTTAAAATAACATTCCCTCCCCTTTAATCTGTGTACTCTGGAGGTGAAGCCCTGTGCTCTCTAGTGGGTGAAGTTGTGGACTGTGGAGCATGGCTTCTGGGCCTTCTATTTTAGCTGCTGGAGTGGCCCTTCTGTTCTCTCTTAGCCACATTCTAGAAATAGATTATGTTGCTAAGCAGCTGCATTCTGGTTGACAGGTGGTACTGTGTGTCCAACTAGTGGTCACCTCTATGTGCTTTTTAGGGGCAGGTATCAACTCAAAATCTTCTCCTATATTATAATGTTTAACTGGATTTGTAAGTTTCATTGGAGGGCCAACTCATCCACTCCCACCCCAAACCTCATAGAGAAAGGTTACAGTCGGTATGACACGGGGTCAAGCTGGTATGACACGGGTCAAGCTAATATGACGTGGGATCAAGTGTTTACTAGGTAGGGCAAGGTTTTTAGATACATGGACTTTCGGCCATACAGGTAAACTTGCTTATCTCCGAAGTCAGGCTGGTCAGAGATCAGGGGCCTCAGTTCCGTGTATCCTGGGGTCTGTTTCTTTTTCTTTCTCTCTCTTTTTAAAGATTTTCCTTATTTATTTGAGATGGAGCATGAGTGGGGGTGGGGGTGGGGGGAAGAGGCAGAGGGAGAAGCAGACTCCCCAGTGAGCAGGGAGCCCGACGTGGGGCTGGATCCCAGGACCCCGGGATCATGACCTGAGCTGAAGGCAGCTGCTTAACCGACTGAGCCACCCAGGCACCCCCCTCTGGGTCTGTTTCTTAACCTCTCTGACTCCTGGAATATTGTGAGGATGAGATGACAATGACGATGGTGAGGACAACAGCCACAGAACAGTGGCAGCTAACATGGAGAGGACTTGCTCTGTGACTGACACTCCCATACGGTTTTCTGTACTTCATCTCATTTCATCCTCACCACAGGGCGAAAGAGAAGATTCATCCCCCCCCACCTTTTTTTTTGTTTTGTTTTAGAGTGAGAGATTGAGGGAGCAGGGTGTAGGGAGGGAGAGAGAGAATCTTAAGCAGGCTCCACACCCAGCGCAGAGCCTGACATGGGGCTCCATCTCACGACCCTGAGATCATGACCTGAGCCAAAATCAAGAGTTGGATGCTAAACCAACTGAGCCACCCAGGTCCCCTCCCCATTTTTTTATAGAGGAGGAAACTGAGTCCCGGAGAGGCTGTGTAGTTTGTGGAGAACACAGAGCGGGGCATCAGTGGAACCCAAATTTTCATCCAGACCTGGCCCCAGAGCTCCATGCTTAGGGTGTTGTCTCCCCAGCACTTACAGAGTGTGCTCACATGGTAGGTGCTCACATCCATTTGCTTCTGCCCTGATGATGACGGGAATAGCAGGTGAATTTGGTTATTGCTGTGACCCAGAGTAACAATTCTGTGTCTTTGAGAAGCCTTCACCAAATATGAAGCACATATGGGTACCGATAAGATGCAGGTTTTCTTTCTTCCTAGACGAACGAGCTTGTGTTGAGTCTGGAAGACGATGACACACTCATGCTGGAAGAAGACAGCACGCTGCGTGCCGGTGGAATCGGTGAGAAAGAGCGCCCCGTGGTGCTGGACGGGCGCTCACTTCCCCAGCCTCTCTGCCAACGCCCGGCTGATTATGTTTGGATAACTCACCGCAAAGTAAATGCTACCCTGGGTGCTCTTTACACTCCCCGATAATTACTCAAAGGAGGAGGATGAGAATGATGTATGTTCAGAGTGTTTGACTGAGGGCAGGCGATATCTGCTCTCCAAATGTGCAGAATGCAAATAGTTCTTTTCTGCAGGTATGCTCAGAATTCTGCTGAGGGTTGTTTTAAGTGATTGACAGGTTATTACTCACTTAATAACCTACTTACTCTTATCAGCATCATTTGAACTGATGGTTTGAGAGAAATGGACCTGGTAGAACTAATGTGGAATAATGAAGTGAGAGGTTGTTTGTATAACATGTAGTGTGGTTTCTAATAGTCCTCCAGATCACTCAGGGCCCGCCGAGTCGTGGAATTTCAAATAGGAGCCTAGCGTGTGCGCTTGAAAGGGGGCCTAAATCAGCTTTTCAGCCTAGAATGTGGATGTAGTGCTATTTTAAAGAAATGCCATGTGACGTGTTTTGTGACCATTAGATGTCACTCTAATTCTGTGTATGTACACCTTACGGTTATCTGGCAATGGGAGTGAAGATGTTCAGAGATGTGTGAGCTGTTGAAGGTGCTGTGCCTCTGACATACCTTTGTGGTCTGTGACTCTAAGGAAACAGTCCAAATCACACTTTATAATTATCCAGACACACTGCTTAAGGGGCACTCTAAGTGAGGTCTGTGTTAGGAAGCCTTACTTTTTTTTATTTTTTTTGACAGGTGTTCTATTGAGCTATTTTAAGGACATATGTCAGGAATTCAGTATTGAGTGACATGTGTGGCTAAAGTGAGTTCCTGACTGGTCTTCTAATTTAAATAGGATTCTAAATTACATGGTACAAAATCTTAGACTTACTTTCCTTGTTTGTCTACACTATTGGCTACATTTAGTGTCATTTCATATTATAAATATGTAAGGTTGCTATTGTTTGAAAATAGTTTTTATTTTGGCATTTATTTCCTCAAATGCTGTTATATTATTATAGCAAGTGGCACCTGTGTTACTGAGGCATGGGGCACCTAGAAGCTAGCCCCGCTTGTTGTTAAAACATAAAGCTATAATTATTATAACAGACTGGTTTGGTATTGACGTAGGGATTGAAACCTCTATGGAAAAGATAAGAAACAAACTAAAAAAAAGTAAGATCTCCCAATATGATAAAGTTTTGACCTCTCAAATAAGTGGGGTAGGAATGAATTAGCCAGAAAATGATGTTGGGCCCATTGCCAAAGTATTTGGGAAAATAAAATTTAAATCCTATCTCAACCTTTATTCCAAAATAAATTGTAGATTGATTATATGTCATAATGTAAAAAACTTTTTTATTTTTAAAAAAATTTTTAAAAAGATTTTATTTATTTGAGAGAGAGAGAGAGAGCACGAGCAGGGCAGAGGGAGTGGGAGAAGCAGACTTGCCGCTGAGCAGGGAGCCCAACATGGGGCTCAGTCCCAGGACCCTGAGATCATGACCTGGGCTGAAGGCAAACGCTTAACCGACTGAGCCACCCAGGCGCCCCTAAAAAAATTGTTTTTAAATAAAATGTAGCTTAGGAGTTTCATAATCTTGGGGAGAAAAGCTCTTCAAGCATGACCTTGAAGGCAGAGCCATAGAGCGGGGAGAAATGATAGATTTGTCCACGTAAAAACTAAAAAATGTAAACAGAGTTAAAGGAGAAGCACTAAACTATGAAAAAGTTACTTCATATATGACAAAAGGTATTAGCCTGAATTTATAAAAAGCTCTTATAATTAGCTTGGAAAAATACAAGAAATCTTACTGATAGAAGAAATAGCTAACATATGAAAAATAGTTTAGCCTTATGAGTCCGGAGAGAAATGCACATGAAGATAGATGCTATTTTATGTAGCATACTAGTCTAGTGGTTAAGCATTAGAGACCGGAGCCAGAGTGCGTGGGTTTACAACCCGATTCTGCCACTTACTGGCTGGGTGACCTTGGACAAGCAGTAATTTCAAAACAGACGTGAAGAAAGTGGTAGTATCCAAGAGTGTTGTGAAGTGGATACTCTCTGGTACTACTATTGGGAATGTATATTACCTCTAACTTCTTGTAGGTCAATTTGGCCAGTAAGACTTTGTCACTCTTAACTTCCTGTTGCCTCTGTTACCAGGCCAACAGGAGTATGCTTCCTTAAGCTCCGTGACTCCCCTGAGGTTGAGATGTGCCTTCAACGGGGTGGCGGGGTTCTCTCACCTTCCCCGTTTGTGAATCACTGATGTAGAGCTTTCTTTATTGCATGGAAGTAGAATATATTGTGTGATGCCATTATTGTTTATAAATGTATATATTTACATGTCTGTATGTGTATATGAAGAAAAAAATCATGTAACAAAATTGTAGAAATGGTTCTCTGGCTGGTGGCACTGCAAGCATTTGATTTTTTTTTTCCCTCTCGGTATTATCTAATTGTTCTCATAATTTAAAATTTTTCTACAGTTCCCATGTAAATTAAGGAACCAATTTTAAAGGATAGATTTCTAAAGTTGGAGAAAATTGGTTTGAATGAGGGCTCTGCATTTTACTTATTTTGTGACCGTTCATAAGCCATTTAGTGTTTTGAACTTCTGTTTTAATTCATGTAAAACAAAACAGAAACTGAACCTGTTTCAGAGCGTTGTCCTGAGAGTTGAGTGAGAAAAGCCTATGAAAACATCTGGAACAATGCATTTTACTTATTTTGTGACCATTCATAAGCCATTTAGTATTTTTGAACTTCTGTTTTGATTCCTGTAAGATAAAACAGAAACCATTGAACCTGTTTCAGAGCATTGTCCTAAGAGTTGAATGAGAAAAGCCTATGAAAACATCTGGAACGATGCAGGTAGAGACCCTCAGAAACACGTATTTGGAAGCCATTTTAGAGAAGGCAATTAGTGAATGTTTTGAATTTATTAAAATACTGAGTTGTTGGCTTAACTGTCATTTTCAGACTCATGTAATGAACCACCTGTAAAGGTAAGAATCAGATCCATCTCTCTGTCATTCTTGTTGTAAGGCCATGGGTCTTTGATGAGCATCAGATTCTTGTCACGAGTTCCCCACTAGTTCCAGGGTGGTCCTGGAACCTCATGCTGCCTGCCAGCCCTGGCAAGCCCACGGCCCTGGTCTGGGGTGACTCCTGGCCTGGCTGGAATGGTTTCCTGTCCGTGTCACCTGGAGCCACCGTGCTGTGCCCTGGAGAAGCTTCACATCCACATGGGGAAGGAAGCGGTGGCCACAGAAAATTCTGAGTGGGAGGAGAGTTGTAAAAATGATACCTGAAGTGTGTGATTTTTCTAGGGAATTTCCTCTCCCTCAGTGCCGTGTCTGGTTAGGTTTTTAAGTGGTTGAAGAGAAGAATTCTGAGTCCTCCCTCCCTTTTCCCCACTTGATCTTGCTCAGAGCTGTCACTCTGCCATCACAGTTGCCATGGGAATAAGGCCAATGTAACAAATTTATCATTATGACTTTTCTGCAGAATTCATGAAAGGAAGAGAAGGACTGTGAGCAAGGGGAAATTAGGGGAACAAACTTCTTTGAAGATATCTTTTCTCAGGGAGAAATTCTCCAGTTCCTGCCCCAGCCTTTTAACTGCATTGCGGATCCCAATTGTATATTCTGCGCCTGACGTCAGGGCACATTTTTGCTTGTGGACTCAGAGCTAAAAGACCTCAGTAAAAAGATGTGCTTTTTTTTTTTTTGGAAGGAAGAAGAAAGCTTTACTTAGAATTGTTATTTGTAAATGTAAAGATTTTTTACCTTGTCATTAATGATTGTAGTTTTATGGACTCATTCCCCTAAGTGGTGAATTTGCATGTCAGTATTTTTGGGGTGGTGTTTTATCTCTTTCCTTTGGCTACATTCTACTACTATCATCTTTTGAATCCTCTTTCCTTAGGAAAGAAATGGTGGCAGGGTATCTCTTTTCAAGCCTGTTGTGTTTTACTGGAAATATTTTTTTTTTAAGATTTTATTTATTCATTTGAGACACAGAGATAGAGAAAGAGAGAAAGCATGAGCAGGGAGAGAGGCAGAGGGAGAGGGAGAAGCAGGCTCCTCGCTGAGCCAGGAGTCCAATGTGGGGCTCGATCCCAGGACCCTGGGATCATGACCTGAGCCTAAGGCAGACGCTTAACCATCTGAGGCACCCAGGCGCCCCTACTGGAAATATTTTAAAATGAGATATAGCGGGCCAAACCCTAAGTGCTTTTCTGAGGGAAGAGTTTGCTTTAAACCGGATCCTGTAATCATTCCAAAGCTCCCCTGTGGTCAGTTTTCATTTTATGTGTCAACTTATGTTGTCTGCCCACAACCAGAACCCTGACTTTGTGCCCAGCACCTTTTGATTATCTCAGCTATACAGCTAATATTGCAGGATTCTTTGACTCTCACTTCTTTATCAGGATCATGTTTGATTTGTGTTTCCTGAACATTCCAGGTGCCTTTCCCATCCTCTTTTGAGTAATAATATCTTAGGGCATACATGCTTTCCTCCCTTAACGGCATCTTACAGGGGCTGTTCTTTACCTTAAACATCAAAACAGTGGTAGTCTGGTATTCAAGAAGGTAGGTGGTGGGCCCAGGGAATTTGGGATTCCAGAACAAGGGGTCTGGATTGTTCTTCCCTTTTTACCCTCCCTTCATCACTGTGGGAATCCATAGGCCTGTGTCCAGTCTCTAAAAGGTCAGATTTATTTTACTATTTGTTCTCTTCAAACTGAACCTTGAAATCCTCTCTGCCCACTGATCTAAAAAACAGATGCTTGAAGCAAATGTGAAATAAAGGGCTGTGTTTGGGAACTCTTGGCTGGATCACTTTGGTGCAAACTTAGAAATATAACTCAGCTGTAAAAAAAATAAATATAAATATATAACTCAGCTGTGAGCATAGTTTTGAATGATTTGTAGTTTCAGATTTTATGAACCTTGGAAGGATAGGATATACTCCTGGATTAGGAGAGAAGGTAAAACTTTGTTGTTTTGGTCTCAAATTGCTGCAGAAACCAGACCTCACTCCTGTATTATTTATTTATTTTTTTTGGCCAATAACCTGTGCTTATTATCACATTACAGCTTGCCTGATCATTAATTATCTGTACCACAGAGTCCATGCGCATGTCTCTGTCTCTCTTCTCAGACAACAGTTGCTGTACCTTATGCTACTTTGGTGCCGACTGGTACAGGCTAGGGAGTTCAAAACTGTGCAATAAATCCTCATTGATAGGTTCGGTTTTTGGAATAAATTAGTTAGGAGCTTAAGTATATTGCCTTGAATTTTTCTTGAGCTTTTACATTTAAAATTGGTTTTTCTTACATTCTTTTATTTAAAGTCATTTTCCTGTTATAGGTGTGTATATATATGGAGCTGACCTGTTTGGACACGTTATAAAATTATTAATTTCAGGGGTGCCTGCGTGCCTCAGTCGGTTAAGCATCTGCTTTAGGCTCAGGTCAGGATTCCTGGGATCAAGCCCCCTCCCCCCCCCACGTTGTATCGGGTTCCCTGCTCAGCAGGGAGTCTGCTTCTCCCTCTCCCTCTGCCCCTGACTCATGCTCTCTCTCTCTCTCTCTCAAATAAAAAATAAAATCTTAAAAAAATTATTAATTTCATTTTCCCCAAAGTTTGAATATCCTGGCTTGTGTTCATTGCATTAAACTTGAAAGTCATATTAAAATGGTGCACAGTATTTGGAGGGTTCTTACTTGATTTCATTTGATAGTAAGACAAAGGGATGAACAGGCAATGTATTTATTGGATTTTAGATTTTACATTCATTTCAGATTCACACGCCAAGGCACTCTGCACCTGAGTGCACTGCGCCTGCAGCACATTTAATTTAAAATCAGGTGCCCTAGGGGACTGGCACACAGTAGACTTCCTTGGGGTTCTTTGGAGCCATTTTAAGTAGAATTGGGGAAGCAAGAATTTAAGGGATAGTGGTCGAAAGGGTGATGATGCAGAGGTCTTGAAAATCTTCTGTGATTTGTTTTCACTCTAATTGATAATAAATTCGTGGTGTAAATACAGGACATCATTCTCAAACATTTTCAACAGAATTTTACAGATTTTAAAAAGTATTCTATTTGGTTTGTTTGAGGACCACATTATTCAAGTTTAAAATACATTTTATGGGGCGCCTGGGTGCTTCAGAAGGTAAAATGTCTGTCTTCGGCTCAGGTCATGATCCCAGAGTCCTGGGATCGAGCTCCACTTCAGGCTCCCTGCTCAGTGGGGAGCCTGCTTCTCCCTCTCCCTCTTCCTGGGCTTCTCCTGCTTGTACACTCTCTCTCTCTGTCAAAAATAAATAAAATCTTGAAAAAAATTAAAAAAAAATACATTTTATGTCTGACTTTTGAATGTTTAGAGTAACCCACTTTGAACTTGTATGTTGTTTTCCAGTTTTTGAAGGGTGTAAATTTTATCAGCCTTCATGAAGCTTTGGAAGTTGAACCTATTTGTCAGTCTTGTTTTGTTGTTGTTTTGAAAAGTATTCATCTGAAAATCTTTATCTTAGGGGATCTCATGTTGAGCGTGTATTGTGAGAGATGGTATATAAATACTTCAGATAAGTAATGAATTGATCTGTAAGTTAATTAGACCCAAGAAAACCTATGTGGCAAAACAAATGCTTTGTCAGTTCTTTCTTTACTTCAGCTTATCCTGAACCTGTTATTACCATACTGAGGAACTCTACGATGTATTTGTTTCTCAAAAGGGGTACAGATAAATGTCAACGCAGTAAGTGAAAATTGTAATTACAGTTAGTATGTATTGAGCAAAGTGCTGCGTGGGCAAAGCGCTATGTAAAGTTCTGTATGTAAATAGCACATTGTAGATAAAACCTTGCGTTGTGATTCTAAGAACAGGGTGCTTTTAGCTCATTCTCCATTTGGAGGATGATTAGAATTACTTGCAAATGATATAGGTGTACCTTTGGGCTTGCTTCCCCTCAAAAAAGGAAACCCCGGGAGCTTTTTATATAAAGGAATAGATCTCAAAATTATTTTATGAATAATAAATTATTGAATTTTCTGAATTCAAGAATATTGAGTTTTCTGAAGACCCCCCCCAATCCCTCTTCAACATTTTACTGATTCCACGTGTGGAGCCTCTTAGCCATTCTTTTATTTATTTATTTATTTATTTTTTTAAAAGATTTTATTTACTTATTTGACAGAGAGAGACACAGCGAGAGAGGGAACACAAGCAGGGGGAGTGGGAGAGGGAGAAGCAGGCTTCCCACGGAGCCGGGAACCCGATGTGGGGCTCGATCCCAGGACCCTGGGATCATGACCTGAGCCGAAGGCAGACGCTTAACGACTGAGCCACCCAGGCGCCCCTTAGCCATTCTTTTAAATGCTATTTTCATGTCAAATTCAGCTGTACAAACTTCTTGTTTGCCCAGGGTTCATTTGTTTCCAGCCTCTTCTCACTGATTGTCAGTTTGTCGCAGCCCTGTCTCCCCCTCACCCCCAGGCTCATTGTGCCGAGAGTTTGCAATCTGATTTTCATCAAGATTAATCTTCATTTAATCTTGAAGATGCACTGGGACTGGAATGAGGATCTGAAACTATGGGTGACTTTATTTTCTTCTTTCAGCATTTCTGTATTTTCTGTAATGAGCATGGGTAACTCATGATTGAGAAACAATAAATTTGATATTCTTAAAACCAGCAAAAACTTTTTTTTTTAACTGAAATGTCATGCTAAGCTCCTTAATTTCATTCTTTTGTGATAAATTCTAGTGATGAGATGAGTTTGGTAAACTAAGACACCAGTGGTAATCCTTGGCATCTTTCCCTATTATCCTGTTTATTTGGCTTGAAGAGTTTTTACTTGTCTGTTTTTAGAGGATATGTTAATTGAGTGATCGGTATTCATTACAAATAATCTCGTCTGTTTTCTTGTTGAGAGTCTGCAGGCCCTTTTGCTCTTCTGTAAAAGCTAAGCAGACTGTATTAACTTCTGGTTTAATTTAAAAAAAAAAACAAATGTGGAATTTGTTGGCGCACACCTTAAAGAATTGCATGTTTAATAATTGGAAGGCTCTCCATCAGATTTGTCTCCAGTCTGAATTAATAATGTTGCTGACTTATTGTTTTAGAAGACGGAGTCCTTGACCTGCTAGGTTGAAAGAATTGTGACTGCTCTGCTCCTTTGTGGGTCCTTTAGCTGTGCCATATCCCCTGTGAATAATTAGAGGTGTTTGAAGGTATTGCGGGAGAAGCCAATTTGTGTCTTTCACTTTGCATATTGTTGAAGCCTCATGAATTAGTCATAGCAGGCCAAAAATTAACTTCTTCAGACACATATTTTGATGGGTCATGAGGGAGAATGTAAAGTGATCTGTAAAGTATTCTACTGATCCTCTAAGTATTAAATTATTATACCTACAGGCTAATTTCAGAGAGAAAAAAAAGCGTTTTTCCCTCCTCCTTCAGTAACTGAGCAGCACATTTGGAAAAAAATACGTTTATTTTCTAGGATTGTTAAGAGGACTCTAACATGAATAATTTTATGGTTTCCTGGAAACCAGTCTTGTACTCATTCTTGTTTTTAATTTTTTTTGGTTATTTTTCTTTTTACTTTTAAATTATTTGAATTCTAAATTCTTATAGTGACAGCTGATACTTCTTATTGATTTGGTGAAATGTGAAACCAAACGAGCTCATCTTTCTCACTTTAGGCATCTGAAACACTGAATCAGAGTAATATGGATTTCAATGCTTGCTTAAAATCTAGTTTTACATTAAAATTTTTTTCCATTGTCTTTTTTTTTCCAGCTCATGAAACTGAAATTGCATTTTTCTGTGAAGAAGATTATAAGAACTACAAAGCTAATCCCATTTCATCCTGGTGAAAACCTCTTGGGGGCTCCCTTTTTGCATACCTGTATTAAGCTCTTTATTCCACTAGTGAGTTTTGGAAATTGACAAATAAACTTAAAAATTAATCTCAGGCTCTGCTATTTGAGCTGAAGTCTGTGGTGTTTTCTCTAACTGCAGGTCTGCCCTTTTTCTTTCTTTCTTGTTGTAAAATAATATATATTTATGAGAAAAACATTTTTTTAAGTGAAAGAAATAGTTATTCAAAAATTTTCATGGAGGGGTGCTTGGGTGGCTCAGTCGGTTAAGTGTCTGCCTTTGGCTCAGGTCATGATCCTGGGGTCCTGGGATCCAGCCCCAAGTCTGGCTCCTTGCTCAGTGGGGAGTCTGCTTCTCCCTCTCCCTTTGCCCCACCCCCACCCCCTGTTCATGCTCTCTCTCTCTCAAATAAAATCTTAAAAAAAAAGTCATCATGGAATATTGGTTCTTTAGTCATAACTTATTTTTCTGAAATTAGGGGTTATTTGGGTGGCTTGCATGTTGGGTTCTTTAAAAAGTTTGTTAAGACTAAGGTCATTCTGTTCATTTTGTATTTTTTTTCAGTTTCTATTAGAGCCACTATGCACTGTTACTATCTGTAGTTAGCAAAGATTATGAGTCTCTGATGGCCACCAGTGCCACCTTTTTGCTTACGATGATATGCTGCCATGCTTGAATTGAATTGTGTATATTTTAGGGAGGTTTTCTGATGTAAGAGAGTTTCTTCTTTTATTATATTTCAGCCTACACAAATAACATGGCTGAATTTTTTTTTTTTTTTTCCTGAGCTGTGTTCCCTTACTTGAGGAACAGACTATAATAGAACCAAACTCATTTCTTTGGAGAGAGAAGGTAGCAGGATATTTGCACTTCTGGAAGAAAACTGTTCATTGAGAACAAGTCTAAGTCATGAAAGATACATTCTTTCAAAATAATATAATAGTCTCGATTCCTGATAATGGCTACTATCAGTACCTGAAAACTAGTGATTTCAAAGGGGCCTCTCAGCCAGCATGTATATCTAATCAGGACTCCTACGAGGTTAGTTGGCTCTAGAATTTTTCTAAGAACCCTTAAAATAGCTAGTAAGGCAAATTGGTTTCATTGTGGTAGAGGCTAACTTAAAAAAAAAAAATCAGCTTTGAAGTCTGGTTAACATAATCAGAATATGCTTTTTTGCTTTGTTGAAAGGTGTGGTAGAGCCTTATTTAGGTCATGATCCTGGAGTCCCAGGATCGAGTCCTGCATCGGGCTCCCTGCTGAGCCGGCAGTCTGCTTCTCCCTCTGACCCTCCCCCCTCTCATGCTCTCTCTATCTCATTCTGTCTCTCAAATAAATAAATAAAATATTAAAAAAAATAAAACAAAATTAATTTTATTCATCATTTCATTCATTAAAAAAGGACCAATGACCCAGGCTTCTGGGGAGTTAACAAAGAATTAAATAAAAGACACAGTTTTTGCCTTGGTGAGTGGGGAAAGATATTTAAGCAAGTAATCTTAATATAATGGCAGTGAGAACTGCTATGGGAGCATTGATGATGGGGTAGTTAATTCTATGTGGGATTAATTTTTATTTTAAAAGTATCAGTTGAGCTTGTTCTTAAAAGGTTGAATAGGAATTTTTGCTTAGTAGAAGATAAGGGAGAGGCTTTTAGGAAAAGGGCCCAGCATATGCAAATGCAAAGCACGGTGAGAGAGCTTGTAATTTTCTGTAGAAAGTACAGATTTCAATGTACTGGTGTGGAAAGCCCTTAGACCAGAGCGGAGGAAGAGAAGGTCAGGAGGGAGGTTGAGGTGGGCCTTATCCCTCATGCTAAGGAGTTGGACGTTTATCTAGTAGGTAGTGGGAAGCCAGTGGAAAGATTTAAACAGATAACATCACATGGCTAGATTTGTATTTTAGAAAGGGAGCTTTGGCAGCCATGTCCTGATGGCAGAAAGATAGTTGTCATGGACCAGATGAAGACTGGAGAGCCTGACCTAGGGCACGGCACAGGAGAAGGAGAGGGGCGGAGACCTTCGTGAGATAGTGTTAACATTTGCTCATGCATTACACAGCAAGCATCATGCTAGGTACTTTACATATATTATCTTATTTAATTTTGACCACAGCTTTTCAGTCTTGATAGTATCCTATCTATTTATAGATCAAAAAGTTGGGGCCCAGAGAGGTAAAGTAGTTCATCAAAGCAGGGCAATCATGTGCAGTGGGATTGGAGCTGGGTGTGTCTTGACGTCCTGACCTAGCCCATTCTGCCCTGTGGCCTCCCATTAGAGGCATGGGGTAGAGTGACTGGTGGGATCCTGGGACTTGGTGAATGCTGTGTGTAGAGGGTGTAGCAGAAGGAGGAGTGGGGGCTTCGGTGGATTCTGGCTCCAGTGAGTGGCCTGATGGTGACGACATTAACCCAAATAGGGAATTTAGTGAGTAGAACAGATGAAAGCACACACTATTTGCTCATTTTGCACACATTCAGTTTACACACGTTTTTCTTTTCTAAGAAAAATTAAGTCTATCTTTACCCGTATATTTTCTTTTTTAACAAAAATGCAAAAAATATGCATATATGACCCTTTGTTCTGGTGTGTATTTTCCTTGTTAGTTACATATAGTTATAAACACAGGTGTGAAAATCAAACAGACCTATATTATGACTAAAAAGGGCTATCACCAGGAATGGAAGATTGGTTCAAAACTATAGAAAACCGATCAAAGTAATTCACAAAACCTACAGATTAAAGGAGAAAGAAATTATGCTTATCTCAATAGATGCCAAAAAAGCATTTGATGATCTGCAACCCCAGGCATGAATAAAAACTAAGACTAGAAGAGGATTTCCTTCACTTGACCAAAGTTACCCACAAAAACTGCTTAATGGAGAAGTGTTTTAAGCAAGTCTATTAGAGAAGATACAGGACCAAGATGACTGCTGTTGCCAGGACTATTCAGGATTGTCCCGCAGGCCTTATTATAGCCAATACGGTTAAAAAAAAAAAGTCATAAGAAGCACCGATACTGGAAAGGAGGAGGTAACCCATTCATTTGCAGACAATAGGATTGCAAGAGGATCAACTGACACATTATGAGAAGCAATGAGAGACTTCCAGAGTGCTTGATAGCAAACCTACAGTGACATGTGCACAAAAGCTACAGAAATATTACTAGAGGATATAAGAGACCTAAACAAAGAGACCTCACGTGTTTATAGATGGAAGCTTTGGTATAATAAAGACATAGATTTATACCAAATCTGTAATTTAGTGTGACCTCCATCAAATCCCAAAGGGTTAATACTGGAATTTGACAAACTGATTGAAAGATTCATTTGGAAAAGTAAATGTACAAAAGGAGGCACGATCACTTGGAAAAGCAAGAAGGAAGGCGGATTGCCTACCAGATGTAAAAATATATCTTAAAAGTGCAGGAATTAAAACAGCTGTGGAGTGATACAGAAATAGACCAAAAAAAAAAAAAATCAAAGGAATAGAATAGCAAACTAAGCTGACTAATGTATTTGGAAACCTATTATATAATAAAGGTATTTTTAAGAAAAAGATATTTAACACCTGACTAGGCATTTAAAAAATGATTAAGGATCCTTTTTCCTGCCATTCACTAAAATTTCAAATGGATTAAATAACTTGACATGAAAAATGAGATGATGAGCTTATTAGAAAAAAAAGTGGATTATATTTATGACCATGGGATAAAGAAGTTCTCCCTAAAACACAAAATGCAAATACTTTAATTGCTAAATTTGATGTATCTGTATGAAAAACTAGCTCCCCCCAAAAAAGCAAAGGTTGAAGGACAAAGATGGGGAGAAACTACTTGCACTTATAAAGGAGACAAAGGATAAGTTTCCAGATTTTGTGAATGCTTTTATGATAAGTCTATGAGAAAAGGACAAACATGCAGCAGAAAAACACATTTTATAAAGAAGTAGTTCATAAAAAAGGAAATCTATATGGCTTATAAACGTGAAAAGATGCACATCCTGTTATTCAAGGAAATTCAAAACAATAGGATACATTTTCCTTTGTCAAGTTGGCAAAGAGTAAAAAGGGCTTGGTAATAAGTATTGGCAGTGATGTGTGCCCACTGTACCAGTGGGAATATAAATTCATATACAGTCACTTAGGCAAGCAATTTGGTTTGCTAGCTATTAAAATAACAAATGTGCAGATTCCATTGATCCAGAGGTTCCACTTCTTAGACTCTGACCCAAAGAAACCCTCTCACACCTGCAGAAGGAGGCATTTTATAAGGGAATCCACCACAGTGTTATTTGCAATAGAAAAACACTGTAAACATCCTAATTGAAGTCAGTAGCAGAATAGACAAACTACGGTGTATCTATGTTCTCAACTACTTAATCTGAAACAATGAAGGATGTATATCTTATTTGTGGACATGTGACCATCTTTGGGACATCCTGATGGATGGAATTGCAGAACTCAAACTGTGATGTCATTTGTTTAAAAGCACAAAAGATCTATAGGGGTGCCTGGGTGGCTCCGTGGGTTAAGCGTCTGACTCTCACTCTCAGTTCAGATTTTGAGCTCAGGGTCATGAGTTCAAGCGCCACATTGGGCTCCATGCTGGGCATGGAGCCTATTTAAAAAAAAAACTATAATGTATATATATGTGTACATGTATATGAATATACACATCCATACATATGCACAAAAGCATATACACCAAATTGATCACATTGATTACCTCTGGGGAGGGGACTAGTACTGGGAGGTGACATGGGAAAAGCCTCTGTAATGTTTATAAGGAGAATGTATTTGTGTTAAGAATTAGTAAAAACTAATACCTGTATAGAAGTTAAGCAAGAAAAAAAAAACCCATTAGGCAATGGCCATTACCATTTTGGCATATTGTATCTAGGTTATTTCTTCTATATACGTTTTTCAGTGTTTCCGATCTTTCTGGTGTGTTTTAAGTTACACAGGTAACCTCGGCTTTCTAAAAACAACCAACTCTAAGGTAATGTGAAAATCCCCTTCCTCAAAGGTCACTCCTTTGCATAGACTGATATTCCATACCTTTTTCTGCACATATGTCATTATTTAAAAACGTGCGTTCTAAAGCGTTATCCTTTGTTATTTAAAACGTTATTCTCTTAAATACAGTTGAGGTGTCTCATTTTCCTTTTGAATCCTCACTATGTGCCGGACACTGCATGTGTTTTACCTATTATCTCATTTAAGTT